TATTACGAAGTTTTTCTTTGCAAACGATCTCTAGATCACTAGAAATGGTGATGGGAAACTGAATGACACAAACAAGGTGTGACATATAAAAATTGGATTTTTTTCAGTCCCATTAAAGCACCTTTGCTAAGAGACTGTCTCTTTTCTTAGGGACACAGAAATACAGCACCCTGGGAGAGCCACCCCCATAGAAACCAATGCATCATGAATTTCCTTGGCCTTCTGAACACAGTCAGATAAGTCTGATAAGTCTTATTGGACTTAAGTCTTACAACTGATAAGTCATATTGGAGCTTCCTCACAGAAAGAGCTGGAGAAATTTTTTTTTACTTCTAGGATATCTGGTAGGGGTATTCTTACTTGTTTATCCAGCCTTCTGTACTAAGACTCTGGTATTGGAGTCAGATAGCAAGTATATTTAAACTGATCAAAATAAAGATGGATCTACCCAATTCTTTTAGAGTGGTTTCAGAACATTTTATCTGATCTACACGTCATGTATAAAACAGGCACATATTTGTTAGGTATAGGGGTCTGTGAATACCAACAGAGATGATGGGAAGTGACTAAACAGTATGTCTGGCCAAGGGAAGAGAGCATTCCAGAAAAAATTACTTCCAAAAATAGGGAATAACATAAATATTTCAGAGAATAGATGTGGAAATGGATTCTAGCAGTTTTCTGAGAGTTTCACTATTATCAGAAAGAGCTTTTTGCCAACAAGTGAAATGAGAGTATTTTGATGCAGTTTTTGTTCTTTACCATGACACAAAGACAGAATAGATTTATTTTTTTTTTTACTTCTAACAAGGTTTGATGGCCTGAAAGTGGTTAACCGATGATACTAAAATCTGTATTTAAAATGTAATTCAGCTCTGTAATTATATTTCTTATGCATGGAGACAGAAATAAACTAGAGGAAGAACCTATTAGCCCTTTTGCATGTATAATTGAACACGTTTGATATTACTAGGTAACCTTTGTAAGTAACTGGCTTTGAGTTATGCAAAGAGGTGAACACTTTGAATACATAAATAACAATAAGAGCAGATAGGTTTTTGATTTTGCATTCTGTTCTTTTCTTGTTTGTGTCTGTTAGATGCAGTCAGACATCCCTGGCTTTATTTGGCCATCCATAGAAACATCTGAAAGATCTGACTTTTGCATCATTTGGGTGCAGTAATGAATAAGAACTGACATCAAATATCAATATTATTGGCCCAGCTAAATGGTAGCTGACATCCAACTGGACTGCTGAAGAGGTAAACAAAATTCAAATTTTGTTTTTGTTTAAAAACTGTCTGACATTATTTGTCCTTCAGTAAATCAATGGAAGAATGACCTAAATGCTGTCTGCATTTTGGCTTTGGGAGGTAATATTGGGCAGTTGCTATCAAGCATATTTTTTTATAGCCTTTTAGGTTTTCCTAATATAAACTGTAATTCCAAAAATACTTTTTGTTTTAAGGAAACTTGGTAACCTCTGTAATGATTTCTTAACCTGCAGACATCATACAAACACAGCATGGTAGAAACAGACGAAAACAGGTGAATGATGATCATACTCTTATTCGAACACAAACACCTATGTACACACACATAAGAAAGCAAATTTTGTTCTACTTTAAATTCATATTGATTTGACAAAGCATCTACAGTCTTTATACTTCATTAGCATAGGTAATTTGCCAAGCTGGGAAAATGCTGTGCAAATTATGTGCAAAACTTAATTCAAATGTTATTTAGGCCATACTTAGATTTTATATTACATGCCAACGTTCAAGAAGAGATCACCATTCCTTGTATGAAATCTACTGTATGAAATGGCATTGTTTTCCTCTAGTTGTTGATTAAAAACATGTACTAACGTAAAAATGTTAGTGGTTTGATTTTTCATCTTTGCATGAATTATGCAGATGTATAATGTCCTCTTCATAATTATCCACAAGATGGAAGGAGAGGGCCAGGGCTGACTTGGACATTCTTGCCTTGATGTTCAGACATAGGCATTTTGGTAGCAATGGGGCACCCTCCACCACTTTTTGCCCACCATGAGCCTAAATTTGTGAAGTCGTGTGGAATCCAGCAACTACATGGGGTCACCTCAAATCCCAGCAACATTCAAAAACTGGGAAGATTACTTTGCCTCTTAAGTGCAGTCTCACTTGGGTTTTCCTAGAGCGCATACCTTTGCTTTCCCACATAAGGTATGCTCACATGTATCTTGTACTGCACTGAGAGCCTTTGAGGAGAATTGGAGCACACACAGTGGCCTCTAAACACCACCCTCACAACCACATGCACGTTTCTACTCAAAGACTTAGCCCTCAGTGGAAAAGAAACATCTGAAACATTTTTTTTCTACAAAGTTAGTTGTGTTATGAGGATATGGGAGTAAAAGGGGCTGTAACATTAACTTTTAGGAGAAAAGACGCATTTTTCTACGTCGTCAGTTCAGAAGAAGCTACATGGATTTTGCTGAAATTTTCTCAAACTTTCCACAGGCAGAGAACCAACATGGAAAACCACAGAATTTATACACTGCTGAAAGCATTATCTTTTAAGTCCTGACATAACCATAACTACAGAAGTTAGAGCAGAGTATCCATCAGGACAACGTGACAGATTCTTCAGACATCTTGTGTCCCAGCAAGGCAGCCTCCAGCTAATGGCCACATTTCAGGTGCCAAACTGGCAGTTCTGTTCCATAGAAAAATTGCTAATTATGGACTCTGAACACTGTTAAGAGTTCTGGTTTTAAGCGTCGCCACTTAACAAAAAAACTATTAACTACAGTTTCAGAAACATGGTATAGTAAATAACTCATATTTAATCAGTTTCACAGAGTTTGATAAGGATTTATTCAATTTGTATGAACACATTATTCTTCTTTTCCTTCTTCCTCATACAATAGTCTTCCCCTAAAATTTCCATTAATTTTTGGAAACACTGCCTGGATGGCTTTCTGATCTAACAGGAAAATTTGTTCTGTATATTCTCTACACAACATCATGTAATTAGAATTTCATGTTCTTTCAAAACTTTTTTGGGCACCAAGCAGCCTGAGACATGACTATCACAAGCCTACTGAAGTGACTTAGGAGCCCACTTAAACTGACCTATATCCTAATCAGAAAAAGGAGTGAATCTCTTCGGATCTTTCACCATTACAGCACTGCACCCACAAGAGTCCAACCCTATAGACAAGACTTGTGACAAAGCATGAGATCTGCAGACCCATGACATTAGGATATATATATAAAAAAATATTTAAACAAACAAACAAAAAAAATCCAGGTAGGATTCTGTCAGCAATCAGCCTTCTGTTTGGCCATTTCAGACTTAAACCAGACTTTTCCAACAAATCTTTGCCTGGCTGCAAAGCTTCTTTGGCCAGGTCTAACCATTAGGCTTTGTGTTGGCCACTCTGGAAGTGATGTTGCACCTTTGTCCAAAAAGTCCATGTTCAATCTCCAAAATCTTTCCCATGAAAGTACTGTTGAAAATACTAATTTGTCTATAAATACCTTTCTTCCTCATAAAACATGCATATTTTAACAACAAAAAAAAAGGTCACTCAAAACACCTTAATCAGCTTGCTTACAGTGGAATACTTTAATTTCTTGGGCAAGTACTAGAGGGTAAGAAAACAGTTCGCTGGTGCTATATTTGCTTGAAATATAGCACTTGCTTTGCCAACCAATGTGACAACTGTAACTTGTACAAGTCAGGACCAACTACATAGTCTTTTCAGTAGTTTTCCAGTACCTAGAGAGTTAATTTATATAACTGCAATTACAGCTTCTGAAATTATATTCCTCACTCAGTGTAATCAATGCTGCACTAGATGTTTCCATTTTTACTAATTCAATCATTGAGAATGTCAACCAATGATTTTAGTCTAGAGTTTAATGCCAACTATAATATTCTTTATCAAAATAACATGCTTATCTGGAAGATTATCAGCACATAGTTTTTAAGCTTCCTGTTAATCATTATAGGTCACATTAGAGCATGAGGCTCTTTGTAAATACTCATGTTAAAGACAGTACTATAGTATTGTTATAGTATTTTCCTCACAATTCTTGCTACTGTTAAATATTCTCTGTTCTACACCACGGTGTTTCAAAATACTGAGAGGCAGGTTGTGCCTGTCAAATACACAGATACACACATGTGGCCAAGAAAGAATTAAGATGCCTTGGGAATTCCTGTTCACCTCCTTGACATAAGCTTATCCCACCCTTTCTGCTATGTCAACCTCTAGGGTTTGCCCTATAGACACATAGGGTTGACATAAGCAGTTGGTAAAGCAGTAACTGATACTGAACAAGAGGAGAACATTCAGAGTCTCCTACAGTAAAAATTAGTTCCTTGCTCTGCTTGTAATAGAAGTGGCAGTGAGAGCACAGAGAGCAAGAACACCACTGAGATATTTTTCAGGAAAGATGGTCCTCACCGCTTCCACACCAGATTTAAAGAGCAGTGTGGCCAGGAGAGCTAGAAGAAACATACATCATAAATGTTTTGATCATTTCAGAGTATTTCATATCACCTCAAAAAAACATTTTGGAAGAATTACTTTCCTTCCAAAGTTAACAGGCATTCAGATCATAGTCTGCTACCAGTCCTAACCAAAATGATGCATTTTAGACAAGCACTATAAAATTAACCATTCAGAAAAACAAACTAACAGCAAACTTCATTTAAGTAAAGTAACTAAATGATCATGACAAAGGAGAATGGCTTAGATATCGTGCACTGATCAAAGGAGGAAGGAGGTAGGCACAAGGGGGAAGCAGCTTTATTCTAACAGTCTCTGGGACTCTGTTCTGGCTGGCAGGTGTGTGCCACACTGAACCACTCTAGAGTTCCTTGGTAATACTGAATTCAGTTGCAGAGGTATCCGTTCCACCAAAGTGCAAGACAATATTTACCAGAGCAAGGAATAGGATGATTAAAAACAAAAAAAAAAAAAGGAAATTTGTAAGGAGACTTACATTCATGTTGAATGTAGCATGATTACAGGAATGCAGGTAACCATAGAACGTGTAAACATGGAGACCCTAGGAATTAGACATAAAAAGAAAGGAATTAAATAAGTTATAGTAATATAAATTATTCTATAACCTTGTAAATAGGAAGACCTTGATTTTATGGCTGTGTGCAAACCAAAGCACTTTGTGTGCTCAAAAATAGCTCTGGTTGCTAGAAGAGGAGCACATTTCTCACAATTACTAAGGAGATATATCCTTCTTTCACATAGTAGCTAAAGGAAAAAGTGCATTCAAATATAATGAAAAAAAAGCCATCTCTCTCGATGGAGGGTTTGAAATAGAAGGTATAATCACTGCTTCCAAAAGACTGAGCTCTTGCTCTTAGGCAGTGATTCAGTACATGTCTCTCGATATTCCACACACACCATTAAAGTCTTCCTTATGGAATCACAAGCATGAAATCAAAATTAATTATCTTTTTTCATCTTCCACATTAGGCCGTAAGTGACCTACATAGTGCAGTAACATATGTCAGATGTCATCATTGATATCTGACTTATTCTTCCAGTACAGGAGGCATCCAACCACAGCATCTTCTGCTAAAACCCCCGAAGTCTTCAAGATGGGAAGACAGAGGTATTAAAAACATATGCATTTCTCTGTTTTCATAAAAATCACTGGTTTCGTGGGTAACATGACATAACTTTCTATTAAAAGTGAAACCCGGCTTTGAACAGGGTAGTCATATCCTGAAGAACAAATTTTCACTCCAATAAAACATTTTATTGACATTGGAATCAAAAGACAACTTGTTGCATTATTCTGGAGAGAAGAAAAAACCCAAACCCAAGATTTGAAATTCCTCTACTCATCCTAGTAGTCCTTCATTGTTCTTATTCCAGCTTGAATCAATCTCCCAGGAGCAGGGGTAACATAGGTTAATCATACCTCTGTCATGCTTTTGGAGTTTATACTATCAGCTTAATTCCATTTTTATTTTCCCAAAGATATTATATACTTATATTCTGCCAAATAGTAAAGAAAAAAAATGACTCTTCCTCTAACGTAAGATATTTGAATTCTCTTTTTTCGCTGACAAAACTTCATACATTTTTATCATCAGCATGCTTTATCAGTATATTCTCACTGTTTGCAACAAGTCCTTTCAGGAAAGTAGTTAATGAGGTTTGACCACAAAGTAATTCTGGCAGGATGCTACTCAGTAATACCCTGTAGTTCATATTACAGCTCTGAACCATTTAGGAGAACTCAGTCCAACAAAACAGCAGTTAAAGGGGATTAGATTGCTGTTGTAAATATCTCAGGCGTTAAGAGCAAAGAGGGAAAAGAGCTATTGGAGCTGAGGAGCAGCGTTGATGCAGGAACATATGGGTATTCATTATCTGCAGATAAATTTCAGTTGGAAATTAGAAGACAGTTCTCAAACAGTGAGATAAGAAAACTCCACTCCACTCCAAGCAGTGGGGATAAACAATCGTCATTAATTGTGAGAAGCTGCTTGAGAAGTCTTCTCCTGCATGTGATCTTTTGCCTGAACTTGGAGACCAAGGACACTCTTTCCAGTCTTGTTCATACGGCATTAGAATACAGATTTCTGATGAAGTCCAGCATTTAATACTTTACAGAATTCCTTTTGTTTAAAAAATGTCACCAAAAAGAGGCAGCAGGCTACTTTGGCATTTTGTATCTTACTGTATTTTTCATTTACCTTTCTCTCTTGTAGTTTCTGCTTCAAGGCTGGATATACTATTGAGATCAAACTAGGAAATTAGTATTATTCCCATGGAAGGACTGCAAGACAAACATAACAAGAAAAAAAGGGTCCAAACTATTAAAAGCAAGCCACTGTCTTTAAAGAGCAAGCATGCCATACACTTTAGGCATAAAAATATTGCCGGAGTACAGTTCTTGAGTCTTCCCCAGTTTTCAACAGACTTGCGGGGGGGGGGAAAGTGCTGAAAAAACTCCACCCAAAAAACTTGTATATTTACATGATTTCTAAATAATAGAATATGAACTGATAAATCCTGATAAAAAGAAAATTTAAATAATTATTATCCAATTATAAATTCACTGTTGGAATAGAAATGTGATTACACAAAATTCCCAAGAGAGACAGACAAATTAAACCTGATAAAGATGACATAATAGGGGACAAAGATAACCAAACACATATGAGCAGTCTAGCAAGAAAAAATGTCAAGGACATAAAATCTATGTTGTGGCCTAGCAGCAACATCAATTGTACCCAGTCCATGGTAACAACCCAAATGTTGGTACACATTCTGCATGCAAAAAAATAGCCCCTGTAAAACAACTGCTGTTGCTCAGCAAGGCATAGTATTTACCCTCAGACACTTTCAAATACCAATATATACACAGTAACCTTTCTACAAATGCAGAAAAAGCACGCTATCACAAACCAAAAAAAAAAAGAAAACCACATGGATGCCGTGCCACAAAATGAATGTGAACTTTCTGATTTCCCTTCCATAAGTCAATTCAGTATAAACCACCTGAAAAGGATTTTAATAATCGTAATAATAATAATAATAATAAAAAAACTAGACAAAGGCAATGGTTCTGTAAAGTGTTTCTCAATACTATTGCTGAAACTTAATTTCCAAAGTGCCACTCAATGCACAGCTAGTGTTTCCTTTACCAACACCAGGAAATCTGAGTTTTGCAGACACACATGCTATAAAAATAAAACTGGAAAGCTTACTATTTAGCTGTAATGTTCCAGCAAAACCAAACAGCAATAAATATTCTCTGGATCAGAGCACATGTTAAGAGAGCACTGAGCTTTCAGCATCAAGAGCTCAGCAGTAAGTTAATGATACCCCTTTTGCACATGCATTCTGCTTTTCAGTCTTTAATTAGTCTTTAATTATAAAATAATCTACTGTAACACCACCAGGACCCCTGCTTCATTCAAGGTGGAACTGAACCAGGTGTGAACAGGGTGTCCAAGTCCCAGGCTTAATCTCCCTTGGAGTGAAGTTTAGAGCACCTCTTCTTCAGAGGCATTTCACTGGAGTGCCTTGCAGGCTGGTCCTTGGCTTACTAACAGCTTCTTGTCATCCAGAAACCAGCTGTATGCATCTGCCTTTTAAATGAATTTCTTTAAGGTTCAAGACTATCAAGGGGCAAACACCTGGGACTTGTATCAGGAGGAAAAGAGCAAAGGAAAAAGGAGAAGGTTGTCTTAATGTTAGGGGAGTTTTCAGTTAGGGAAAATTATGCTCCTTTACTGCTACCTGCAAGTTCTCACTGACCATCACCCCACTGAGAGAGATAACATCACAAATCAAGACTGGGAGAAACAACAAAACAGCAGAGCAGAACTCCGTAAAAAGGCTGTAAAAGGCCCATTTTTTCCACATTTAACCCATGGGGTCTGTCCAGTCTCCTTGCATAGGACACTCTAGCAGTATAAAGGGCAGTAAATTATGGAGAATACATTATTATTTTTAACTGAGTCTTCAGGTCTTGACTGAAATATTAATAGAAGAAATGTCAGTTCTATTCACTCCTTGAGCTACTGTCCAATTACATTAATAACATTCTTCCTCTGCAGAAAATACACAGATAATAGCAACGTTCAAAGAAAACAAAATATGAGGTGTTCTGCATTGTTTGGGTTTTTTTTAAATATTATTCACACATGCACACACACATATAATTTTCCATTTTGAAACCCAGAAATTAACATTAGAATCAGCAGTTAGAAACACCATGGCATTATGTTATGGAGCCTATCAATCTCTCAGCTTCCACTGAGCACAGACATTAATTGCCTGCATTGGACTGGAGCTATCTAAAAGATTTCAGATAGAGAAAACGTTTTTTTTTAAAATACAATCCAGTACTGCAGAAAAGCAGCCTGACCTTTGGAACTGTGGATCTGTGAGCAGTAATCTTGCTGCAAAAGTAGTTAAACAAGGAACCTAAATTCAAATTATTTTTTGTTCTTACTTTCACAGGATAAAAGCCCAAGATTTCAGAATCGATATTAAAATTCTGCTGTAAATCCTCCCTATTGTGTCCATATAGATATACAAATACCAGGGCAAGACAAGACAGGCTGAATACAATCATAATTATTATACCACAGCTTCTTTGCATCAGTAGAATTCAGTTCAACCATTAACTATGTAACATAGCAGCTGAATCTTCCTATACTTATTTTAATTACCAGTTTAGCAGCAACAACAAAAAACCCCCAAAACTAACATGCATCTTGGGAGAAAACACACAGCCAAAAAATGTTGAGCATCGTTTAAAAACTCATGTTTTTAAACTCCGCTGTTTTGATTATTTTTCTGGATTTTGAATGCCCTGCTGTACATGAAACTCTGATATGAACAAACTTACTTTGCCAAGTTCAAAAATCAAGATAACATATCCATTAGATCAAGCTGAGTGCAATATACTAGGTGCAATGTGTAATTATCTTTATTAGTTTGATATGATATGAGATTTAGATAATATCTGAGTATGAGGTTTATTTAAACAGTGTTCAGATAAGAGATTTATGTGTAATTTCTTGGTTCATTTAGAAATTACCTCAAAGCAATATGTTCATTCACCAGGACTGAACTAAGAAAGGTATTCAAACCATGAAGTACTCAGCAGTGGAACTGTTCACCTCATTCTCTTTATTAAGAACAAACAAAACCTCCCGACAGTTTTTCATGAAAGGTTTAATTTTATTTGGGGGAAAAAAACATAGTATCTTGAATGAAACTTCTGATCTTACATAGGTAAAAATTTTCCAGAAAGTCCAATAATCTAATACTTAGGTAACTCACTTCACTGGACTTGAACGTTTCCTAAAACAAGTGTCATGTTAAGTGTGCTGTGATTACTGGCTATTGACTCACTAGGGAAGGCCTAACCTTTCATAGAATCATAGAATCATTTTGGTTGGAAAAGAGCTTTAAGATCATTAAGTCCAACCATTAACCTAACCCTGCCATCCCACCACTAAACCATGTCCCTAAGCACCACATCCACCCATCTTTTAAATACCTCCAGGGATGGGGACCTGACCACTTCCCTGGGCAGCCCGTTCTAATGCTTGACAACCCTTTCAGTGAAAAAAATTTCCTAATGTCCAATCTAAACCCACCCTGGTGCAACTTCAGACCATTTCCCCTTGTCCTATCGCCTGTTACCAGGAGAAGAGACCAACCCCCTCCTTGCTACAGCCTCCTTTCAGGGAGTTGTAGAGGGTGATAAGGTCTCCCCTCAACCTCCTCTTCTCCAGACTAAACAACCCCAGTTCTCTCAGCTGCTCCTTGTAAGACTTGTGCTCCAGACCCCTCACCAGCTTGGTTGCTCTCCTCTGGATGTGTTCCAGCAATAAAACATCTTTCCTGTAGCAAGGGGCCCAAAACTGGACACAGTGTTCGAGGTGCGGCCTCACCAGTGCCAAGTACAGGGGCACAATCACCTCTCTACTCTTGCTGGCCAGAACTTTTTCTCAATCTCCCTTGCTGAACAGGGCTTCCTATTTTACAGCAAAGTACAAAATTAAAAGTGTGACTCCTACTCAAATCCTTGCCTTATTCATGACACTCTGTCTGCTTGGTCTACCTGTGCTTCGCACCAGGAAGGCACTAGCAAGCTCTGAAGGAAACATGTGACATATCCAGCAGAACTGCGGACTCTGAAGTCACTCCGTGATGCAGGGGAATTGCCTGCATTGTTGCCTTGAAGTAGATGCACTGGAAACATCAAAAGGGATTTGGATCTCTTTGCTAGAGCACAAGCTATAACAAGGTAATTTTTAAAAGAGAGAAAACTCATTTTCATGGGATATGACAGGTAAACACAAAAACTGGAGGAAAGAATCTAAAAACACCTACCCCCTCTACCTTTGCAAGACGGCTCCTTTCTTTTAGTCTCTCCTTTCAGCCCAGCCCGTAATAACTCACTTCAGCAATTTCCTGCA